TGTCTCGAAAAACCAAAAACAAACAAAAAAACAAAAAAAAACATATATACCACTTGTCCCTCTGCAAGTCAACCACACACGTTCATGTGGCCTGTTTAATTGTGCCTGTGCCCCCTCCCCACACTTTGCCTGCACCTTCTCTTGATCATAAAACACCCAGTGCAATAGCTGGAATTCAGTAGGATTCACTAGGGGATACTGAGGCACAAGAGACGGGGTTGTTGTTGTGACCATGTGTCTAGAGTGACAGTCAAAACTGAGTGCCTGTACCTTGGGCCACTGCAGAGCAGGGTAGATAGCTTGGGCGCTCTCTCTGTCTGACAAAGTCTCATGTAGTCCAAGCTGACCTTGAACTTGCTGTGTAGCTGAGAATGACTTTGAACCTCTGATGATCTTCTCCCACCTCCCAAGTGCTAGGATTAGAAATGTACACCACCACGTCCATTTTATGAGTGCTGGGGATCAAGCCCAGGGCTTCCCTCGTGCTAGGCAAGTGCTCTACCAGCTGAGCTGCTTCCCCAGCCTCAACTTTAACTTTCTGTTAGAGAATAGCCAGAGAACCTGGGAACTCACAGACCCGAAGCTTGAACTCAGGGAGGGAACCTGGGAATCCCTGCCGTACCAGATCCTTTCTGGGTGACCTTGAATGGCCTGCTGAATGTCCCTCTGGAACGTCAGTCTCTACCTCTAAACTTCAGGTGGCATTAGCCGCTTTCCTGAAGGTGTGATAATTTTGGATAATGTGCCATACCAGAAGCAACTACAAGCTTTATTTTGGCTTTTGGGTTGTGGAGAGAAGAGCCCATCATAATAGGGAGGCATGGAAACACACAGCAGGAGCAGAGAGCTGAAAGGCAGCATCTTCAGCCACAAGCAAATAAGAAGTACGATAAAGCTATGACCTCTCCAAGCCCCCAGCTAATAACTTACTTCCTCCAGCAAGGCTACATCTCATAACCTCCCCCAAAACAGCACCACCAGCTGTGGACCAAGTGTGCAAACGGCTGAGCCTATGGGGGGCCTTTCTCATTCAACCCCCACAGGCAGTTTTACTACACACACACACACACACACACACACATACACACAAGAACCGTGAGGTGCCATGTGAGAATGTCTCACCCACAGCTGGCTGCAGGAAGGGTTCACAGCAGGCGTAATCGCATGAGCAAGGTGAAACCGCAAAAGGGAAACATCCCTATGTGGAGATTAGGACTCTCTGGGGCTATAGCCAGGCCTGGAGCGCTGACAAGGGGCACATGTTGCTGGAGTTTCTCTTGTCCCACCAGGTCTCCCCACCGATTCATCCCCAAATAAGCACACAAAGACTTATGATAGTTATAAAATTGTTGACCAATGGCTAGGGCTTCTTATTGGCTAGCTCTCTCTTAATTATTAACCCATTTTTATAAATCTATGTATTGCCACAAGGCTGTGGTTTACCCGTAATCTGGCATGTTACTTCTTGCTTGGCTTCTCCTCATGATCTCCCTCTGCCTGCCTTTCCCGGAATTCTCCTCATCTCCTAGACCCACCTGCCTCTTTTGGCCAAACAGTGTTTTATTCATCAACCAATAAAAGAAGCATATATACAGAAGGACAGCCCCCATCAGACACACATAGGGTGCCCTCATATGCTCAGGGCACAAGGCCTACGGAGGAGTGAGAGTTAAGCAAGCAAATTCTGGGAGAGTCCTGAGGCCAGAGGGTTAAAGAGGGACACCCAAGCAAGGCCTTCTGGACCCATGTGTGGATCAAGTTCCTCCCCAGACTTCAGCAAACAAGATAACACCTGCCTCCTGTGCTGCCAAAAACGCAACGTGAGACTGTCATGAGCTATTAAACAGAATCCACCCACAGAGATCACACTTAAGGCACCAGGATGGGGATTTCTGTGGCTCAAAGTCAGTGTTTGTATTGTGGGTGTGGGTCAAGATCCCTGACCATTGGATTAAAAGAAATATCCCTGCTCAGCCATGAACCCCACCTCCCTGGCTTCTGGAAAATTCCATATTGGCCATGGTTTGTAGGTCCTCTCTTTTCAGGGCTCTGCAAATGTCCTGAGGAACTCCTGCCATCTGGAAGATTCAGGGAGGGATCAGCCAGAAGTGTCCAAACCCATCACCCTAGAGTGATCTGCAAGGTGGCATCTTTGTTGCCTTGGAGCCAAACCCAGGTCAGGAGTCTCTGTGCCAGGGGACCAGAGTCCCCTAAACAGCCTGTGTTGGATCAATCACTCTCAGTGGAGCTTCTGCTGGTCCCAGGCAGCATCTCTGTCCTGTGTGGTGATGAATTGTTTATGATTTATTAAAGCTTGCTGGAGGGTACATAAAACAAAACTAGTCACAAGCCATAGAGGTCAGGCAGTGGTAATACACACCTTTAATCCCAGCACTAGGGAGGTGGAGACAGGAGTGATATGGTTGGGCAGAGAAAGGAATATAAGGCAGGAGAAGACAGGAATTAGAAGCATTTTGCCTCTGAGAATTCAAGGAGACAGGATCAGCCATTTTGGTCTGAGGTAGAGAGAAGAGTTAGTGGCTGGCTGTCTTGCTTCTCTGATCTTCAGCTTGAACCCCAATATCTGTCTCTGTGTTTTTATTACTCATATTACAAATGGCACCCAACATAAAAATACAAATTAACAAAAAAGCTGCTTGCCTATGGCTTTGAAGCCACTGGTCCAGGCTGGCTAGGTTTTCTTTTGTTTTCTCCCCAAATCTTTGAGCAAGTTTGGGATATCCTTGTTATAAACTCACAGGAGTGTGCACCCTCTCACTCTCTCTCTTTCTCTCTCTCTCTCTCTCTCTCTCTCTCTCTCTCTCTCTCTCTCTCTCTCTCTCCCTCCCTCCCTTTTTCCCTACCCCCATCCCCATCCCTCTCTCTCTGTCCCTCCCTCTCTCTCTTCTCCCTCTCCCCCTCCCTTTCCCTCTCTCTTCCTCCTTCTCACTCCCTCTCTCCTTTCTCTCTCTCTCCCTCTCCCCTCCCTCTCTCTGTCCTCTCTCTCCCTCTCTCTCTCTCTTCTCCCTTTCCCGCTCCCTTTCCCTCCTTCTTCCTCCCTCTCCCCCCTCTCTTCTCTCTCTCTCCACCCTCCCTCTCTCACTCCCTCTCCCTCCCTCTCTCTCTTCTCCCTCTCCTCCTCTGTCCCCCTCCCCTCCCATGGATTGTGGGCTCCCCCCCCGCCTTGTTGTGCTGCTGCCAAACTAGGTGGCTGCCTTGAAACTTTCTCAGGCTTCTGCTGTTCAATGCAGCAGCAGTCAGCCTCACACTACATCTCACTGAATCATCATTGGTGGCAGATTTGGTGAGACAATTGGGAATTCTTAAAGGGATGAATTAGTTAAAAAGGGTTTTTCCACATTAAAAATGGGAAACACTATTACAATGGAGAGAGTTAGGTCTCTGGAAGATTACATAATGGATGATTTTAAAATGGGACAATTTAATGAAAGGATAATCAACTTAACCAGGATTAACATACTGTTAATCATCATTTTGATAATTCTTTGTTTATCTCTAAAAAAGTTGGTTGAGCCGAGTGGTGGTGGTGCACGCCTTTAATCCCAGCACTCGGGAGGCAGAGGCAGGCGGATCTCTGTGAGTTCGAGGCCAGGCTGGACCGACAGCCTCCAAAACAATACAGAGAAACCCTGTCTCATAAAACCAAAATAATAATAATAATAATAAAAGTTGGTTGATATGAGTGCCAAGATGCAGGCCTTAGAAAAACTTATTAAAGCAGATTATGGAGATATTCAAATCCAGACTGAGAAATTAAATGGGGAAACAAGTTCAGCATTGCATTTTAAGGTATAAAATGAATACTCTAACATCTTAAGTGAATCACCTTTAATATATCCAGTAACCTTACAGGAAGTGCCAAATGATATAGGCTCTATAAGAGCTACTTGGAAGCCTGTGGCAATGTTAGATTTAGGGAAATTCAAGGAAGCTATAGTCTCATATGGCATCCATTCACCATTTGTGAAGCAGATGATGGACATGAGTTATCCTTATAGTATGGATAGACTTGATTAAAATTGTTTTAGAGCCTGGTCCACAATTACAATGGACCACCTGGTTCAGAGAAGAGGCTAAGAATATTGAACAGTGGCTAAAGCAAGAGGTATGGATATCCCCAAAACTCAAATTCTAGAAGAAGGAGATTATGGTCCTTTGGAAAGGCAATGTCTATATGATGATCACCACTTGGATTTATGCAGCAGTTTTGAATGCTTTGGAAAGAATTGGAGAAATAAGAAAGAGAATTTAGTCATTTACAAAAGTTACACAGGTCCCAAAGGAAGCATGCACCGATTTTGTACAAAGACTGTCATCAGCAGTCAATAGAATGATACCAGATTCAAAAGCTAGACAAATAATAATTGAAACTATGGCTTTTGAAAACACTAATTCTCAATGCAAAAGGATAATTTGGTCTTTAAAAGAAAGGTCAGCACCTTTGGAGGATTGGATCCGAGACACAATTAATATTGAAGCTCATGACCATGATGATGATACATGCATAGAAAAGGTGATTTCAAGAGGTTTAAAGAAAAACCGAAATGTCAAATGTTTTCATTGTGGCAAACAGGGTCAATTGAAAGGGATTGTAAACAGGGCATTTCTATAAACAATGATTTTTATAAACATAATTCAAACAGAATTTCCCTTCCTTCTAGATTATGCAGAAGGTGTGGCAAAGGCAGGCATTGGACTAAAGAATGTAGATCAACAGGAGACATTCAGGGTAATCCTTTGCCTTCAGGAAATGCCTTGAGGGGGCTTCTCGAAGGTTCCTATGTCAAATTCAGTTCCTTCTCAGAGCAATTAAAGAACCTAATGCATATAGTAAGAAAATATACTGCTCTGGATGATAGAAGAGCTTTAGAAGATAAAACGGGAATTTCAGGAGAAACCATAAGTCAAAATTAATAAAGATTAGATTAGGAATCTCTGCAAAGTTAAAGTTGGGTAAAGGTTCTGCTTTTTCTTTTCAGGAAAACAAAAACAAACACCTTGAGGAATTTAAGACCTTTGGACAAATAAACATCCAAAGAAGGAGGAACATTTACCAGAAAAACATTTACCAAGAAAAGAAACAATCTGTCTCCAAAAGAAGATGGAATCACAGCGGGACAGTGGTTGTGCATGCCTTTAATCCCATCACTTTGGGAAGCAGAGGCAGGGAGATCCCAATATGTCTGAGGCTATCCTGGTCTACAAAGTGAGTTTCAGGACAGCCAGGACTGTTACCCAGAGATTGGCTCTGAACTATAAACTGCTCAGGACAATTTTGAGATGACTAATTGAGATGATCCAGTCTCACAGACCATACTTTCCCATTACACAGAGACTGGACAACAAATTACACAGCTTGACAATTTATCCAGTTTTTTCTTTTCAGGATCCCCTAAGGATGTCATCGCCCCCAAACAGCAGGAAGTAACTTGAAGAACACAGCACCCACATTCCCAATATGTTGGGTAGGTGGTTTTTGATCATTTGATAGGTTATAAATATTTGTCATTGTTTAGGGGAATTGGTTACAAATTGTTAATGATAATGGTAAAAAAAGGGGGTATACAGATATGATAGGAAAAAAAAGGGTAGAGTATTGAATCTACTCTGAGAAGAAAAAGGGGAGGATATAGCTATGATAAGATAAAAAGGCAAATTATTGAATCTACTCTTAAAAAGCAATTACTAGTTTTAAATAGTTTACATTGGGTTGGACTATTGTATACAAATACTATATATTGTTACAAATTTGAGATTAATTTGTTAAAACATACTATACATACATTTCTAATCTTGTTCAAGGTATTGTACTTATACAGTTCTTTTAACAATGTAATACAAATTTCTAGTCCTTGAAAGTTGTTATTATTACCAACTGTATAGGATAATAAGGAAATGTAGGTTAGTAATTAGTCAACTATTAAAATTGAACTTATGCATGTTTTCAAGGTCAAACAGAGATGTATTTTACATAGGTTATCTTCAAACACTTCAGAGATCAGCAGAATATGGCATTTAAAATGTTTTAATGACATATGGCTCTTTTTTTTTTTTTTTTTTTTTGGTTTTTCGAGACAGGGTTTCTCTGTATTGTTTTGGAGACTGCCGGTCCAGCCCGGCCTCGAACTCAGAGATCCACCTACCTCTGCCTCCCGAGTGCTGGGATTAAAGGCATGCGCCACCACCGTCCGGCCACGTATGGCTCTTTTTATGACAATGAGATATGTCTGCTCTTGGCAGCACCAATCTACTTCAGAAAAGATGGTGGACATTGAAGAAACTCCACATGGAGTTTACTTTCTTTGTGGCAAAAGTAGCCACTGGACAAGAAAGTGCTCTTGCCTTGGCTGCTGACAGTATACTGTCCAAATGGGACAAACAGAACACACAAAAAGTGACTGCTAAACCTTGCCAAGACTAAGTGGGCAGTCCTTCAGAATATCCTGGTTCACAGAAATGTCTGTCAGATATGCTAGGCCTGTAGGCTGAAGATGGACGCCCCAACATTGCAGAGGAAATGGGTGACTGTCCAGGCAGCCAGATGTTCCTGTCGTTTCTCACATTTTTGGAAGTGCTTCCACTTCCTAGTTACTCAGCTAATATTATTTCCTTCTCAGGTCCCTGAGGGAGTTGAAGACCAGATAGTTATAGTTTTCTTTGTTAACAGATTCAGAAAAAAAAACTCATTAAAGAGATGTAAAGTATGTAAGGTTGAGAGACATAAAAAGATAATTTTGAGTTGGTAATGCAAATTAGAATAGAAAGAAAATTATGTACTACCTTTTGAATTCACCAAGATAAAATAGATATGGAGTATTTTCTCTGAATTTGTCAAATGCTAATGGACTAGACTCATTGCCTGTATATATTGTATATACTTTTTTATTTATTTTTCAGTTTAAATTTAGATAAGAAACAAGGTTGCTTCACAAGTCAGTTCCCTCTCCCTTTCCCTCCCCTCCTCCCATGCTCTCCCCCCAACCCCCCCATTATCCCCTCATTTCCCCAGGGAGGGTGAGGCCCTCCATGGGGGTGTCCATAGTCTGTCATTTCATATAGGGCAGGGCCTAGACCCTTCCCCAAGAGTTCAGGGTGAGAGTGCACCTCACATTGTTAGATGGGAGTCCAAAGTCCGTGTGTATACTCGGGATGGGTATTGAGCCCAAGGCTCAATAGATTACCTAGGCCTCCTCACTGACACTCACATTCAGGGGGTCTTGATGAGTCCCATGCTGGATTCCCAGGCTGATGCCTGGGATTCAAGAGTTAACCTTTGTCAGCTCAGCTGTTTCTGGGGGTTAAACCAGCCCAGTCTTAATCCCTTTGGTCATCAGTCCTCCCTCTCTGTTACTGGTTTTCTTGAGTTCAGCTCAGTACTTAACCGAGGGAGTCTGCCTCTTCTTCGATCAGCCACTAAATGAAGTTTCTGTTTCCCAGACTCTCTGGCCATGGGTATATTGTATATACTTACTGTACTTATTGTATATAGTTTTTCTTATATTAGTTGTAGTCTTGTTTTTGTATTAGACAAAAAGGGAAAATTGTGGTGGTATATTATTTATGATTTATTAAAGCTTACCTGAGGGTACAGAGAGAGAAGCTAGCCAGGATTCGAGAGGTATAAAAAGAAGAAGAAAAGTCAGGCTTAGAGAATTTGCCTTTTGTCTATCAAATCCTGGGATTAAAGGCATGTGATCCCAAGTGCTGAGATCACCTTTATATGAGCTGTTTCTCTTTAGGACTAGATCAATTTTGTGTAGTTCAGTGTGCCCTTGAACTAACCATCTGTCTGCCTGTCTTCTGAGTCCTGGGATTAAAGGTGTGTGAGACCACATCCTAGCCCTATGGCTTGCTAGTATGGCTGCTGGGATTAAAGGTGTGTATCACTACTGCCTGACCTCTGTGGCTTGTGGCTAGCTTTTCTTCTCTACCCCCCAGGTACAGAAATAAATTATATTTACTTTAATAAATTTAATTTAATAAGTCATAAATAATACACCACCACAGTCTCTGAGGAGTTCTCATATTCCTTTCAGCCAGGCATGGTAGCAAGCTCCTGGAATCCCAGCACTTTGGTGGAGGCAGTAGGGTCAGGAGTCCAAGGTCATCCTGGAACACATATACATGGAGGCTAGCCTGGGCTACAGGATTTCCTGCCTTCTTTCTTACACATCTGCCTGATGTTGTTGATTCTTGAAGCTCTAAGAGTCCCATACAATCCATCCTTGGCCACCCAAATCCTTGACATGGATAGGGGACCTGTGATTTTAAAAAAGAGGGCCTGGAAATCCTTGTTCCTGGCTATCTTCTTAGAATCCAAATATAAATGAATATTACAGTGAACCATTGCACATGTATAGTAAGTAGTGTGTTTCATGATCCTCCCACCAAGCATTAGTCAAGGATGAGTTCTGGTTGGGAGTGGAGAATTGAATCTGAAGAAGAAAGGTATGAATCCCTGTCCTATCTAGGTGACCTAGAGTGGCCTCAACTCTCCTGACACCTCCTACTGTAGAGCAGATGAGCTTAAGGTTTCACTTATGGTTTTACTATTATTCTTGGAGAGTTCTATTTGCCCTTAGCACTGTATTTTTTGAGCATACAGAACCTTAGACTAGTCTGCTTTTCCACTACTAAAATACTATGATAAAAAGCAATTTAATGAAGGTTTTCTGTTGTTGTTGGGTTTTTGTTTTGTTTTTGTGTTACAATAACTCTTCCTGCCACCCTGGTTCCAATGCTATATCAGCCCCAAATAACACACAGAGACTTTATTAGTTATAATGCTGTTGGTCAATATAGGGCTTCTTATTGGCTGGCTCTGTCATAAGTATTAACCCATAACTACTAATATATGTATTTCTACATGGTCTTCTCTTACAAGAAGAAGTGTCTGGACCTGTTACTCTTCTTGCCTACATGATGACTGACTCTGCCTATGTTTCTCAGAATCCTCCTCATCTCCTGGTCCCACCTATCTTGCTTCCCCATTGGCCAACAGTGCTTTATTCATCAACCAATAAGACAAACATATACAGAAGACATCCTCATTATCTCCTCTTTTCTGTCTAAATAAAAAGAAAGGCTTTAACTTTAGCATAGTCAAATTATATATAACAAAACAGTTATCAAGTAAGAACTATAGTTATAATATTTAATCCATTAACACTTAGCAAGATTTAAAGAAAATAATCCATCATCTATCCTATCATTGTGAGTCTAAAGTCTTATATGTAACTTACCTTTAATCCTAACTAAGGAAAACCATAACCATAACTATCTGTCTTCAACTCCATCAAAGACCACAGAAGGATAGTATACAAACTCTAGAAATGGCAGAGACATCTCCCTACCTGGACAGTCATCTAAAGTTCTTTTGTAAATCGACGCATCTATCTTTGGCCCATAGGCCACAGTGTGTCTGACAGACTTCTCAGTAAGCAGGAAATTTTAAACTGTCTACCTGTATTGGCTGTTTGTCAGTCACTTTTCTCTGTGTCCTATAGAATGTCTGGCAGACTCTCCCATGAAGCAGGAACCCTGCAGCAATGCCTCATCTTGTTTCAGCACTCACTTTCCTGTGGGTCCTGCATGTCCAGTTCATACAGCATACAATCACACAATCCAGACAAGAGCAGTTTGCATTTTTGTGTGTTTGCCTGATTTAGGATGTTCCAGAGGGCTACATGTCCCCAAGGACAGGAAGGCATGGTGGCAGAAGGAAGCTGAAACCGGCATTCCGTTTTTCCACAGGAACTATGAGGAGATCTGGAAGTGGGGCATATTTGGAAAGCTCTGGATAAAGTAACTTGATAATATTGCCTCCTTCACATACAGCTACCAATGAAAGGGCCACCTTCCAGACACCACCCCTTCACTCACGCTCTTTCTCATATTTAAATGTAAGATACCCTGTCTCTGTTCCTTCCGTTTTATAGTCACAGCTGTTTAAAAAGCAAAGATCTCTGTCGAGGAGCTATACAGCAGCACTGGTTATACTTTTTCTGTGGCACAGCTCTAGGACTACAAACCAGAGCTTCACCCTGAGATGGAAATAAATCTGAGGCCTCTGTGCAGAGCAGGATGGCACAGTGAAGACTTTTGTAAGTTGTGGAAAGGAAACCCAGGGCCTCACACATTCAAGGTAAGTACTCTACACTCCCTTGCCTTGAATGTGTGCTTTTTTTGTCATGAAAGAGTGAAGGGAAATCAAAGCTGACAACTGAGAACCCATGAGAGGGAGAGTGTGAGCGATCATTCGTGGGAAACACTGTGACCCTGACTGCAAAAGCCAGCTAAGCAACGTAGATACACACGTACATAAACATGGATACACAGAGACACTCTCACGTACATATACACACGTCTGTATACACATATACACACAGATGCACAGATACACATACACACATATATACACACACTGTTCATACATGCAGACACACCTACACATGTGCACACACACATATATATGCATATGTATATGCATCTATCCACACACACATATGCACATAAAAAAACAAAAAAGATCCCCAAGGACAGGATGAGAAATGTGCACACAAGTGGTCAATCACCAACTCGGGGAGTAAGGTAGGTGGGGTGGAAAAAACAAAAGAACAAAAGGGCCGGCTGTAACCACTTTCCATCGAGTCAGCACAGGCCGCCTTTGTTTCTGCCGGTCCTATTGAATTTGTGAATTCAACCACTTGAAGACAAAAATTTCTAAAGACAATCTGTCATCTGAACTGATGCATGAAGACTTTCTTGTTTTTAACTGAACCCATCCCACAGCCATTACTCAGCACTCAGGTCACAGAGTTCAGCATGTAACTGAGAGGCAGTTTACACTGGTCTACATTAGGGATGGCATGGCTTATACGCAAACACCACCCCTGTTGCCCAAGGGACTTGAGCATCCACCCACAGGTTTGGGTTTCTTTGGGGTGTCCTATGAATATTGAGAGGTGAGAGTGCACTCCCACCACAAGTCACTGAAGGGAGTTGGGAAGGTGACAACAGACCACTGACACAAAGACCTTTTCTCTTGTGCTTTTAGTGTGTGTGTGTGTGTGTGTGTGTGTGTGTGTGTGTGTGTGTGTAACCACAGGTACCTCTGTGTACATGTAGAGGCAGAGGTCGACACCAGGAGTCTTTCTTTTTCAGGTGGGTCTCTCATTGGCCTGAGCTCCCCAGTTCAGCTAGACTGGCTGGCCAGCAAGCCCGAAGGACCCTCTGTCTCCCCAGTGCTAAAATTACAGATGTGGACACATAGTCCAACCCTTTCACTTGAGTGTGAAGGATGCCAATGCATGTTCTTGGGCTTGTGCAGACAGCACTTTACCAACTGAGCAATCCCTCAGTCTCCACCCCCACATTTTTAATGACTCCATGCTACTCTATAAAATGTCCCTAAATTTGGGGTCAACTGCCGTTTCTTTGAAATTCTACTGAGGTTTTAAACAGTTGGTGGGAATCTCACATGCAGAAGCAATGTCAAGTCCTTCTCCCCACATCTTCCCAGACAGCACTCTGTAGACACACCCCATTATCGATGGCATTCATTCCAACTAAGGTGATGTCTGTTTTCCCACTAAGAGATGACACTCTGTAAGCAGTGCAACTGTTCCTCCATCCTTCCCACAGTTAACCTCTTTCTGGATACAGCTCTGCCTTCCTTTCTGAGTCTGAATCTGACTCCACTGTTACCATGACTTATTTTGATGCCATAACTGCCCTCGACCTGGACCATGGGTGTGGTGCTTTGAGCACACCCTAGATTTCTGACTCAGCAAGTTCCCAACCCATCATGTACCATCTCCACATAGCCTACTCTTGCTGTCAGTCATTTCCCCAAGGTGCCCTGGTTCCTTGGATTTCTTAACAGAATTCTGGGTGGGAAACATTAGTGAGAACCCAAGATCTGGCTTGGGTAGTTGTGCTCATTGCCATGGGGATGTCACAGCCCCCAGATCCCAAAAGGGACAAAATGAAGAATGTATGCACCCAGGTATGTGCATGTAGGGCCATGCACACACATATATGATCCCCTCCCTCCCCTCCCTTCCTTCCCCTTCCTCCCTCTCTACTCCAAGGCCCCACTTTCAAAAGAGACGCAGAGTCACTTTCTGTGACTTTTCTCCCTCCCTTAACCTGCATCTTCCTTCCCCAGCAATGAAGCCTTGAACTCACTTTGCTTATTGAGACATAATCATCAAACTAGAAAAATCCACCTACTTGATACATGCACTTCCACAGTATTTCATCTGTTTTCAATATTTTAGCGCCATCACCAGACTTGTTTGACAGCCCCAAAAGAAACCTGTGTCCATAAGTGACACCCTGACTCTTCATTAATAACCCTCTGATCCCAGCGGCCACTAATCGACCTTCTGACTCTATATATTCATCTGTTCTGAACACCACACATTGGGGAATAGCTGGCCTTTTGTGGCTGCCTTCTTTGACTCTGTAAACAATCATTATTGTTATTTCCTATGATTATGATAGGTTTTGCTTAATGTATTTGGGGATTCTGTCGTTTTTGTCTGTGTGTCTGTAAGAGTTCTGTATTCTTATGAACAAAGGAATCAAGACCTTGATGGGAAAACCCATGGAATCAACTGACCAGAGCTAGTGAGAGATCACTGGCTCAGTTCTGACAAATGAGGAACCTGCATAAGAAAGAACTAAACTCCCTTAATACAAGTGTGACTGGGGCAATATATGAGGCCACTGGCAGTGGGTCCAAGATCTAACTCTAATGCACAAGCTGACTTAGAAGAGCCCATTCTATATGGAGAGAGATACCTTGCCCAGCCTAGACACAGGGGTGTCGGAGTGGAGAGGTGCCTTGGTCCTGCCTCAACGAGATGATGGGACAGACTTAGTAGACTTCCTAGGGGAGGCCTTACCTGCTCCTTGGAGCAGATGAGAGGAGTGGGGAGTGGGGAGAGCGGGAGGAGCAGGAGGAGCAGGAGGAGCAGAGGGAGGGGGAACTGGGATTGGAATGTAAAAAGTAAATAAATAAAAATATTTAAAGTTAAAAAAAAGAGTTCTGTACTCTTGACAGACAACTGCCTCTTGCAATAGTGTTCATTTGGTTTGATACAAGAAGAGCTCTGCTTGGGCTCTGGGTACTACTTCATGCTATGTCTTTTCCAATTCTTTTCCTTTTCGGCTCATTTTGTCATTGAATTTAAATTGTATCCCTTTTAGACAAGATATTATCTTTTAGTATCTTCTTTGGTTTCTTTGTGTATTATTATACACATGTACATGTGTACGTGGAAGCTACAGGTGACATTAAGTATTGACTTCTCCGTGGCTCTCCACCCTTCTCTTTTGATACAGGGTCTCTCAGTAAGCCCAGAGCTCAGCCATTGGCTAGGCTGGCTGGCTGGGCAGCAAGCTGAGGCAATCTGCTTTAGCATCACCTAGTGCTAGGATTTCATATGGGAGCAACCATGCCTGGCTTTTTATGTAGATACCAGGGATCCACACTCGGTTCCTTGTGCTTGTACGGGAGACACTTTACCAACTGAGCCATCAGTAGCATTTGATCAGTTTACAGATAGACACCAACAACGCAAGACTTGATTTGATATCCAGCTATTTGTTTTCTAATGCCTTTGTTGTGGTTCCTGCTTCTCTGTAATTGACTTCTTTTGTGTTAAGTAGTGACTGTCTCCCATGCTATTTTAATTTCCTTGCCCTGAGGCTGGAGAGACAGTTCAATGGTGAAGAGCATGTGCTCCTCCTGTTGCAAAGGACCCGAGTTCACAGTTCCCAGAACCCACATCAGATGGCTCACAACCACCTGCAACTCTAGTTCCTGGAGATCCAATGCCAATTCTGGTCTCCATGGGCAACTGCACTCATGCATGCATGAGTGCACACATACACACACACACAAACACACATACATGCACACACACAAAATTTAAAACTTTTAAAATATTAATTTCCATGTCTTCTATTTCACTACATAAATTTCAGCTGCTTTCTTTTTTAAAATACATAATTTATTTCTATTTTATGTTCATTGATATTTTGTCTGCACATATGTCTTTGTGAGGTGTCAGAAGCCCTGGAACTGGAGTTATAGATAGGCGTGAGCTGCCATGTGGGTGCTGGGGATTTAACCTAGGTTCTCTGGAAGAGCAGCCAGTGCTCTTAACCCCTGAGCCATCTCTCCAGCTCCTTTGGTTCTTTCCTTAATGGTTGTTCTATGGATGGCAACACCACATCAATTTATCATCAAATTCAGATTACTACTATGAATCTATCTCCTTTCATTGCCTTTATGCTGTTATTGCCATATAAACTACACTTGCATGCATTTTATGCCCATCAATACATATTTACAATTGGTTCTATATAGTTGCATTCTGAATCATATAGGGCCAAAATACAGTTATATTGTCTTTTATATTACTTATAGAACTACTTTTAAAGCCCTAAAAGGTCATAATTGGCATTGGTAAAGTGCTTGCTTAGTATACATGAAGCCCTGGGTTTAATTCTCAGAATTGCATAAAATTGGGTGTGGTGTGCACAACTGTAACCTCGGTACTAGAGAAAGGAAGATGCAGGAGGATCGAGTTCAAGGTTATCTTTGGTTACAGAGAAAAGTTTGGGGCCAACTTAGGCTCCAGAGAGACTGTGTCTCAAACCAAACCAAACAATAAGAAAACACCCTGCATTTACTGGACTTTTTGATGAGGGTTTAAGTTATGCATAGAGGGTAGTCAGACTAATAATGACATGGAGACTTTTAATTATGAAAGCTTGGCCTTAGCTTAGGCTTGTTTCCCAACTAAAACTTAACTTGTTTATATTAACCTATGTTTCGCCAAGTGGCTTGTGACTTCTCAATGTTTCCATATCTCACTGGCAAATCCCGCCTCTCTTCTTCCCAAAGTTCTTAACTCTTCCTGGAAGTTCTGGCTGTCATCTCCTGCCTAGCTATTGGCCTTTCAGCTCTTTATTTAGACCAATCAGAAGATGCCTTGGCAGAGACACATCTTCACAGTGTCCAAAAAGGTTATGCCACAACAGTATTCATTTCAGTTTGAATGATCCCTTGTGGAGCCGGCCCACCACTGATGAAGTCTGAACGTTTTGAAGGATAGTGTTGCT